AATGGATTTTAGAGTCTTGTTTGCATTACATTTATTGAATGTGTACAAGATTGGATCTTTGGCCATCATGCATTCCAAATGCTCGATTGATGGTTTTGGATCCAATAGTGCATCTCCCTTAATGTTTTGAGGTGATAAGGAGTGGCACAGTACGTACATATCCTTGGGAGACCCTCCCTTTCCTCTATCCTGTGCTTCGTTGCAGTTTGGTATCACAGCACACCAGTGGGTGGCAGGGCCACATTGATGGCCGGCACCCTTACACCCTTGGCCGGCAGTGGTCCATCTTTGGCCGGCAGGCGGTCGGCAGCAACTATGCATGGCCGGCAGGCCACTGGTGCATTCCCCAGCCTTGATTTGGTAAATTTCAGCAGCAAGTTCTTAAGGACACCCTGCAAACAGAGCCTTTAAAAGAGCAAATTGGAGATCTTTTCGGGGCAAGAAACCGAGTGCATGCATTGTTCAACTTTCCAAAGCAGAGCTGAGTAGTGTAGTTTAATGCTTACTTGTTAATTAGCATGTTTATGTAATTTAATTAATTTGTTAATTAGTTAAAGTGATGTAATAATTAGTTGTAGCTAGTTATTCAATTTGTCATGTAATAATTAGTCTAATTAGCTTAATTAGATTAGTTGCTTAGCTTAGCTTAGATTAGCTTTGCTTCTATTCGGACCCTCCGTCGAGAGGGCATATTGTTATAATAAGTGTGCGTGTGTGATGCATGTTTCCTAACCCCACGTTTTTCTCTCTTTTACTTATCAGCTTTTGATAGTTAGTTTTAGGGCATGTTTCAATTAGCATACTTATGCTTTGCATGCTTGCATCATTCATTCGTATTGCATGCACCGAGCTCAGCGCATCATTAAACTGCATTGAATTTCAATACTTACTTGAATACGTGTTTCAAAGCATGTTATCGAGTGTTGCATTCATATGCCATCTTAGATAGTCAAGCCTACTTAGTTGCATTTTGCATGTGTTGCATTAGGCATTTCAAACATAGCTTCTGTTTTGTCTCGGAGTACACTGTGAGTGTTTATGCTTTAGCATCCTTGCATGTGTGTAAGTGACTGCCATGATAGCATGCTTGCCATGAGGCTAATTGCTTAAGTGCTTAACTGCATGAATGCCTGTAGATGAAGGCTTCATTACTTGAATTGGGACAATTCATCAAAATGTGCATTTTAAGCCCACTTGTTTGTAGCAAATCATGTTTTAAGCCCACTTGAGGGTGGCAAATCCGCGTCTTAGCCTACTTGAGGGTAGCATCTTTCAAACCATTTTCGAAAAACAAATATGAGATGTTTTGTTCCAAATTGAGTGATTTAGTCTATACTTGTGTGTTGTGCGCATCACATAGTAAGGTAGCTTAATAATCAGAATAAGAACACATGTGTTTTCAAAAACAACATATCATGTTTAGTAGAGGCCGATCTTTGATCGGGCGAGTAGGGGTGCTCATTTCAGGACCTTTTCCTCTCGTACCCAAGTTCCTGAGCCAAGGTAACTTTGGTGATGACGGACACGTGGTCTTAGGTACGAGTCAGGGTTTCCTAAATTTTCCAAAATAAAATATTTAGGTGGCAACTCTGAAATCTGGCAAAGCGGTCCATGTTTGGTGCTTTTTGGTTAAAATCGATTTTCCAAAACGATTTGCCGGATTTAGACTCTTTGGTGATTTATCAGTCTTACATTGCACTTTGTGATATTAGATTCAGAACCGTGACAGGAGTCCGAACTGTAGTAGCTAGAACTACAATTCGCGCCCTCTCCGAAAGGGGGGTGTGCGGAGCGAGTTCAGACAGTCTACAGCAAGGCAATGGGTTTTCGGGACCGAGCATGCATATCTCCCTCGCCCACGAGGCCATCTTCTCTTTATTGCTTTATTAGTTAGTTGCTTCTAGCTATTTCAATGTGTTGTAATTAATTAGCTTAGATGGTTAATTAATTTAATTGCTTTAATTAGCTTAGATTAGCTAGTTATTCAATTCGGTTTGTAATAATTAATTAGCTTAGCATAGTTAATTAGTTGTTTTGTAATAATTAGTCTAATTAGTTTAATTAGATTAGTTAGTTAGCTTAGCTTAGAATAGCTTAACTAATTCATTCGGAGCCTCCGTCGAGAGGGCAAATGTTGTAATAAGTGTGCGTGTGTGTGTGAATGTCTTCTAACCCCACGTCTTTATCCCTTTTACTTAACCGCTTTCGATGGTTAGTTTAGGGTCATTTTCAATTAGCATACCTTATGCTTGTATGTTTGCATCATTCATTTGTCTTGCATGCACCGGGCTTGGCGCATCACCGGACTTGGCGCATCATTCAAACTGCATTAACTTTCAACACTTACTTGAATACGTGTGTCAAAGCATGTTATCGAATTGTTATATTCATATGTCATTTTAGATAGCCGAGCCTATTTCGTTGCATTTTTACATGTGTTGCATTAGACATTTTTACATAGCTAGGATCATGCATGATTTCTAACTAATTCTCTGTTTTGGTTCGAAGTACACTGTAAGTATTTACGCTTTAGCATAATTGCATGAGTGTGAGTGTTGTCATGATAGCATGCTTGCCATGAGGCTATTTGTTTAATTGCTATAACTGCATGAATGCCTGTGGATGAAGGTTTCATTACTTGAATTGGAACAATTCATCAAAATGTGAGTTTTAAGCCCACTTGGAGTGGCAAATCATCATGTTTTAAGCCCACTTTGTTTGGTGGCAAATCTGCATTTCTAAGCTCACTTGATGGTGGCAAATTCAAACCATTTTTGAAAACAAATATTGAATTGTTTTGTTCCAATTTAAGCGATCTAGTCTATACTTGTATGTTGTGTGCATCACGTAGTAAGTTAGCTAAAAAACCGGAATAAAAACACATGCGTTTTCAAAACAACATATCATGATTAGTAAAGGCCGATCCTTTGATCGGGTGAGCAGGGGTGCTCATTTCATGACCTTCCCTCCTCGTACCCAAGTTCCCGAGCCGAGGCAACGTTGGTGATGACGGACATGTGGCCTTAGGCACGAGTCAGTATTTCCTAAATTTTTCAAAAAAACAAAACATTTAGGTGGCAACTCTGTAATCTAGCAAAGCAGTCCATGTTTGGCACTTGTTGTTTAAAATCGATTTTCCAAAACGATTTGCCGAATTTGGACTCTTTGGTGATTTATCAGTCTTACATTGCACTTTGTGAGGTTAGATACAGAATCGTGACAGGAGTCTGAATTGTAGTAGTTATGAACCCAAATCCGTGCCCTCTCCGAAAAGGGGGGCGCGCGGTGGAAGTTCGGACGGTCTACACATACACCAAGTCTAGTGTTTGTTTTATATAATAGTATAGATAAGAAAATTTTATTTATAAATCTATGTAGCATGTTTTTTGCTTTTTAGAATATCAGCTAATCTCATTATTAGGAATGTTGTTGAAAATTACCAATGATCTGTTGCTTTAATGGTATGGAGTTTGTCCACATCGCTCAATGCTTGGGTTCAAGTCTCTTTCATAGCAGATTATTGAGGTTTGTGGGTATTAAAAGACAATGCTCCTTGACGAATGTGTGGAGTAACTTATCTGCACATCCATATTTTTGAATTAAAAAAAAAAAAAGAATGAGTTGAAAATTAAACCCATAAAATTGGTGAAAAATTGATGCTGATTATTAAAAAATAATGGGTAAATTACATTGACACCTCCTGAGATTTATATTTATTACAGTTCACTCCATCATCTTTTGGAAATTACATCCCCCTCCCTGAGATTTAAAGTTTCATTACATATTGCCTCCTCCAACAATTTATTTTTTTTAAATACCAATTTTGCCCTCACTGGGTAAATTACATTGACACCCTTCACATTTTAAAAATTACAATCCCCTCCCTAAGGTTCAAGGTAGCATTACCAATTGCCCCCTCGGTTAGTATTAGTTAGAAAAAAAAAATTCATTGAAAAAAAAATTCATTGGAAAAAAAATTAATTGAAAAAAAAAATTAATTGAAAAAAAATTTTGTTAGTCAAAATTTTAAATTTCTTAAAAACCAACGTAAGATAAAAATTATACTGACACTCCCTGAGATTTATGTTTATTACACTCGAAAGATAAAAATTATATAAAAATAATAATTATTTTTTATTTTTTATTTCTTAACCAAATTAATTTTTAATTTTAAAAAAAAAATCTAAAAATCAAACCATACATAGCCTAAGAAGCTTTTGATAAGTCATTTCTTACGTTGGTAACTTATTTAATTATTTGTTAATTTTACGACATTTTTACCATCTGAGGCCTGTTTGGCCATTTCGTTTTCAATTTTCAATTTATATTTACAAAAATTTAAAAACCGTCATAAAAACTTGTTTGATAATTTTTTTGATTTATAAATGGTTGTCTCTGTTTGTAAATTTAAAGAAAAAACGTAAATTCAAAAAATGAGTTTATGTTGGTTTTTAAACAGAAATTTAAAAATTTGACAAACAAAATTTTTTTCAATTAATTTTTTTTTCAATTATTTTTTTTTTTCAAATAATTTTTTTTCCAATTAATTTTTTTTCAACTAATACTAACAGAGGGGGCAATTGGTAATGCTACTTTAAACCTTGAGGAGGGAATTGTAATTTCTAAAATGTAAAGGATGTCAATGTAATTTATCCAGTAAGAGCAAAATTGGTATTTAAAAAAATTAAATTACTGGAGGAGACAATCTGTAATGAAATTTTAAATCTCAAAGAGGAGATGTAATTTTCAAAATATAAGGAGAAAAACTGTAATAAACATAAACCTCAAGAAATGTCAATGTAATTTACCCAAAAATAATTTGCAATTCTCCACACTTTTGGTCTGACCGTTAACTCTAGGACTTTGGGATAAGCTGACATTGACGCTGATTACCAAAAAATAAAGCTGATAACAAAAATTTTTTAAAAAAAAAGAAAGAAAAAAAAAAAAGAGGTTAGTTGGTTCTTGGCTTGGATTCACACTTCTGGTCTAACAAGGACTTCTGTTTTTGAACTTAGACCTTGCAAGTTCGGAAATGAATATGAAGTCAAAAACAAACAAGATCCCTTACAAGTTAATCCTAAAAACATACACCAGAATTAACATTAACCAAAATTCCCAATCTTTGGAAATTAATATCATCCTTGAAGGCAAAAGCATAGTTACTCAACCGGCACCAAGAAAAGGCAAAAAAAAAAAAAAAACCTATAAGCTCGCTGCAATCGCTAACGCTTATCTCACTGTACAAGGAGAAAACATCAAGTTGAGACGCAAATTTAGCAGAAAATAATGTTGGGAATTCAAAGTTAAAGCTTTAATGTCAGATCAGGTGAAGACGAATTTGTTCTTGGTGCCGGAGCCATAGCTACAAAATTTATGTTCGAACTTTGTCCAGACCCAAAACCCAAATCGTCACTGACCCCGCCATTACTACTAAGTTGCCGGAAACTTCCTGGCCAAAACAGCTCTGTTTCATTGTGTTCCATAAAGATTGGCAACCCGAAATAGCTCTGTTCAAACCTCGCTCCACCAACTCCGGCCTCATGTGAAAAAGGCCTGGTTGACGATGGCAACACTCTTTGGTGCATCGAGGCATGAGCTTCAATCCCAAGTGATCGAAATGCAGAACCGTGAAGAGGTAGCGATGCCAAGCTGGCATACCTATCAGATAGCATTCCCATTCGCATTGCCCGCTTTGCCAGTGTCCTCTCCCTCTTGTGTGCATTCTGGTGCCCACCCAGAGCTTGGGAGCTGTAAAACTTGCGCCGACAATAGTTGCACGAAAATACTCTGGCTGCCGGTGGTGGATCATGAGCGGTTTTCTCATTGCTAGTGTCGTCCATGCCCTTGAACCCAACATCAGTGCCCTTGAACTCGACATCACTGGGATCAAAGCTCAGTGTTAAATCGAGGGAAACAGGGTCGGGATGTGGTTGAAGCTTTATTGAATTTGTGAGGCAGGAAGATGTGGTGCCGTTGGAGGGATCGGGGGTGATTTCTTGGATCGATATGTTGGAAGCAACTTGGCTGCTGACTTCGGACTCATCTTCGGAGTCTAGGTTGAAACTTGAAGGCTTCATGTTGGGTAGTAGGACAACTAAATCAAAAGCTTGATTCTTTTTCTTGTGAGAAATAGCAGGGGAGATTAATTCAAATGCTAACGGTTGTTATTTAAATCTTCGCCTGCATGTATCACAATATTAATTATACATTTCCGAGGGGGAGAGAGCAAATCTAGCCATGAAACAACAGAATATCATGATAGAATATAGAAGACAACAAATAAGAGGAATGACAATGGAGCAGTATGCGTGCGGGGGCTGGTTTATAGCTTCAATTTGGTCCTCTCACTCAAATTAGAGGTTAAAGTTCATTTTTTTAACGAGTGTCAGTCACATGAGGAGTATATGTAATAAATAAATAAAAATTGACAATAATTTGGACAAAATGACCAAATTGATATTGGACTGTCTAGGATTAACATCATTCAAATTGAAACAATATACACAAATATTTACCTCAACAATTATAGAAGCTATCATGCCCACACCTTTACTCAGAATCATACCTTCAGAAAATATGCCAATTGTTTCACTTAATAAACATATAAATAATTATCACTGCGTTTATTTATTTATTTTTAGAACAAAATGTGCAAAGTGTGACATAAGGGGAGAAAATTCAAGTCTCATGCTTTTAGTTCATACATTTCATACAGTATTATGGCCATTTCAAGCAAAGATTTCTGGAAGACTAGATGCTACCCTAGGGAATCTGAGCATAACAGAAGCTCGATTCAATGTGAAAATTTGGGTGTTCGAATACACAAGATCTATCAAGAAAAGAGTAGCTCATATTGATACCATTTAAGAATCTAGCCAAGAAATTCAACACACAACAAGGAATTCAACACAGGATATAAGTACTAAATCATCAGTGTGAATGGGGTATTGTTCAAACCTTAAAAAGGGAACTCATTGCTCGCCTCCACGAAATTTTTACAATTAAACCAGGTAGCTAGCACCTTAAAGGGTATTTAACTGCTTTCTCAGATTCTTCTTGTCCGCTAAACCCTCTTTAGAAAAATTGATTTGTACCTAAGAATTTTACTTTCCTTATTTTTTTATCATTACTGGTACCAGTAGTGGTGGTTCCATAATTGCATATTCTATTCAAGTGCTGAAAGTCTTCATAACGAAAAAGAGAATAAAGCCTCATCAATCACCCCACAAGAAAAGCATACATTGGAATTCAAAAAGAAGAAAGCAATGAAAGCCCCACATTACAATTTCTTACAATAGGGAATGAAATAACAAAAAACATGTGAATCATGGAAACTGGTTTTGACCATCTATTTCGCAAACCAGAAATTAATTAACATCTAAATCCTACCTAATTTTGACCAAATAACAGATCAAATCTCATATTCGATGGCAGCGAGACAACTTTACAAATGGTCCTTGCCATGGACAAACCTACGGTAAAACAGAGTGGCCACAATTTCAGAGAAAATTAGCATGCTATGATATTGGGCTTTCCTCTTTAAGAAAAACATAGATACCTAAAGCTTCAGTGCTTCAACGTGAAGTACGATATTGAATATCCTGACTATGGTGAGCTGACACCAAATAAGTAGTTATGTTGTGTATAGAGAAACTAATGCCTGAAAATTCTTCTTTGATCTTCGCATTCTGGACAAACTCGAGGAGAACTAGTTATATGCCACTTTCTTAGAAGTGTCAGTACTTCTTAACCATCAATTCTTATTATCATTATCAGGCCACCTGTTTGACTCAAATAAAAGAACTAACAAGCTCAATATGTTTTACCCCAATTATAAACAAGAAATGAGTACTTAGTCCTTTTGGACTGAGTGATTTGGGAAGTAAAAACAAGAAAAGAAAAGGGACACTGTCCTATACAATCACTTGTTCGGGTAGCTTAAGAGGAAAGAAAGTGAAGAAAAATGGATGGAAACCAAAATTTCATAAAAAATAAAACACTTCGGAATCTGTCGTAAAAGTGGAGAGATTTGGAGAGAGAGAAAAAAACATTATAATTCAGTTTTGTCCCAAAATTTAACAAAAACTAATTTTCTGTGCTCTACTCTTCTTGCCCGCATAAACTTCTTTTTCTTTTCCTTTCTCTCCTCTATATTTTCCCAACTAGAGTGAAAGAAAACACACTATTTTCTATTCTTTTTCTCTCTTCAATTATGCAAAAAACAGTCAAGGATCCCGTGACCATTTCGCTTCTTTTCTTTTCTTTTCTCACAAAGCTTTCCATTGAGGTATTGATGCCCATCCTAATCTAAATATTTCTCTCAAAAGCAGCAACATATTTGGGTGTGGGTAGGGAAGAGGAGAGAATGGGAGAAAAGCTACATTCTTCCAGTATTCATAATTTTTTTTTTCCCCTTCATATTTTAAGGAAACTAAAAGATTGAAAAGAAGAAACCAACCAACAGAAAGATATGCAGACTCTACTAAATTAATTTGATATAGAAAAAGACCATATAAGGAGATTTGAAATGTGCAAAAATTTGTTTTACCATTTGCTTATCATAAATCTTCAACAAGATTAAGTAGCTTCATCATTCACAGTGGTCCTGAGTTAACAAATCCACCATTCTTCTTTCTAATTTTATATATTAGTGTAGATATATACAAAAATCTAACTTCTTATATTAAGCTTGTGTCTGGATCATGGATTTATGTAGGGATTTAGAAAGAAACGAAGAAGGCAAGGGAAAAGAAGAAAAAATTAAACTTATATTTCATTCACATTATCCTCACATTTTCTCTTCCTTTTTCAAACCCCAACCCAAATCCATTATCCAAACATAACCTAAAAGGTGATTGTAAACCAACACAACAAAACACAAAATTGAAACAAGGGACACAACGCCTCCTCCAATGTAGACCTCATTCAACCTCAATCATTAAGAAGAAAAACAAGTCTATAAATAAAGGGCAAATATCATCTGTACCTAATTCTCTCTCCATGTTCTTGTCCCAAAACACTTATGATGTATTTGAATATTGAATTTGAGTAAGGATTTGTAGAGTGAAAAGAAATGGGAAAGGAAAAGTGAATGAAATTGAAGCTAAATATTTTACACTTTCCCCTTCTAATTTTCATTCTATTCGCAAATCTCTCTTCAAATTCAAGATTCATACGCAATCTAATAGTTTTCGAGATACGAGAATTTCGAAACAATTTAATAATTGTGAGTGTTTTGAAACAGACAAACAGAAGATCCCCCGCCAACCTGAAGAATCTACTGCAATAAACCCCAAAACCAGTAAGAAACCTCAAGAACATGAGATAAGAAGCTCACTCTGGAAACCCCAAAGCAACATAAAACCCAGTAAGTAACTGACAATACCTTCAACAAAGAAAAAAAAAATTGAGTGAAACCCAAGATCCAAAAACTAAAACAAGTTAACAGAAAAAGATAATATATCATCCATCATCAGAATTTAAAGAGAAAAAAGAATAAGAAGAAGAAGAAGAAAGCTGTGTATTTATTTATGGGAGTGAAGTAAGTATCAAAACCAACAATCAAAATTAACTACAATTAAAAATGGGTAGTAGTAAGAATTTCAAAGGATTGTGGGTTGGAATTGCATACCTCAGTTTCAGTGGGTTTTTTTTACTTGGGCAAGTATGATATGATAATCAGAAGACAAGACAAGCTTGAATTCTTAGTTTTTACCAAATATGGGGAAGGTGAGAGAAGAGCTAAAAGAAAGTAGCTGAAGATAAGACCATGGACACGGGGAGAGAGAGAGAGAGAGAGAGAAGGGGGGGGGGGGGGGGGGGCAGGGGGGGGGGGGGGGGGGGAGAGGGGGGGGAATGGAATTCAAATTCCCCCCCAAAAGTTGGCCCCCCTGGGATACAAAATCTGGAGGGAAACAGAGGGTATTTTTGTAAAGTACCTGGAGAGAGGATCATGGCCGGCCGGTTTCCTAGGGTTTAGGTGGCCGGTCGGCCTTCCCCATGGCCGGTCGGCCAAGGCGACCAAAGGTCAATCAAC